CTTTGCTGTGCAAAAGCTTTTAATTGTTTATTTATAATTGTCCTTTTGTTTAATTGTTTTCTATTTTGTAGTTATTTTGTCCCATTCTTCCTCCCTTACTGTCTTCCCTTGCAATTTGATGATTTTTCTATATTAATGTGCTTTGATTTCTTTCTCTTCTTCTTGCATGTATCTTTTTTAGGTATACTTTTTCTGGTTACCATGCAGCTTAGATAAAACATATTTATAATAGCCTATTTTGAACAACTAATTTAATTTCAATCACATACAAAAACTCTGCACTTTTACTTCTACCCACACACACATATATTTTATGTTATTATGTCAAAATTTAAATTTTTTTATATTTTGTACTCATTAACATATGTTTCTATGATAGTTATTCTGAATGCTTTTGTCTTTAACTGTTATATCAAAGTTAAAAAGTGACTATGTACCACAATTACATATCATTGCAACATTGCATATGATATTTATCTATACTGTCAGTGAGACTTATACGTTTATATTTTATATGTTTTTAGCATTTTTTTGTTTCAACATTAAGAGCTCCCTTTGGCATATCTTATAAGGCAGGTTTAATGGTGAAAAACTCTCTCAATTTTTGATTGTCTTGGAGAGTCTTTATCTCTTCTTCTTTTTTAAAGGACATTCTTACCAGGTGTAATAATCTTGGTTGCCAGTGGGGTTTTTTCAGTACTTTGAATACATCATTCCATTCTTTCTTGGTCTACAAGGTTTCTGCTGAGAAATCTGGTGATATTTGTTTTTTTTATGAGTGAACAGTCTAGAGTGTCACTAACAGGAAACAGACAGTAGCACTATTAAAATCATAACTTGTAGCAATTTGCGATTCATTCACATTTCACAGTAGATGTCCCCCCCTTTCAGCCTATGTTGACTATTACCAGTGAAATACACTACAGCAACCATTAATTGAGCATTTCCAGTATGCCATGAGCTTTAAAAGCATTCTATGACTGAACATTTAAACAGAACTTCCTATATGCCAGACACTGTTTTCAGCACTTCATATGTATTAACTTAGTCCTCACAAAAAGCCCATGAGGTAAGTACTAGTATTATCACATTTTTCAGATGAGAAAACTGAGATGCAGTGAGTTTAGACAATTTCTCCAGGATCATATATCTAATTAAGGGACAGGGCAAAAGTCCAAAATCCTTTCAAGTCTGTTCCACAGTTCACACTCTCAATTCTTACCTCATAATTGTATCTTCAAAATATCTCCAAGAAATATATGCTGTAATTCTCTCTTTCTATAAGTAAGGAAATTGAGGTTTAGAATGCTTAAGTGATTTCTGTAATCACCCAGCCAGGAGGTGGCAGAGCCTGGACCCAGAGCACTAGCCTTTCTGATCCCTGAAGCCTAGAGGCCAGAGGTTTATGTGGTTTATTGGCTCTTAATAATCATTCTTCCTAAATGAATATTAGGTCATATATCTAAATGACTGCTGAGTTCTAGACACTGTCCAGGCAAAGATTAAATGGCCCCGCCCTTCCAAGAGCTTGCACTATAGCTACAGAAGTTCTCATGTTGAAGCTGTCATTCAGGTATATAAAGAGGCTTAACAAATGACATCTTCCCCATGCTTTTTTGTCACCTGCAAAGACTTCTGGTGGCTGGTGGCTGTAACTATGATTGTAGAAAAGAACACTGACCATATCCCTTACTCAGTCAAAAGTATCTCTCATAAAAAGGGATACTTTTGTTGATGCTAATTACCAAACTCTCCAAGCCATGTCATGTTGCTTAAAGCAATTGTCAACAAATTTTTATGGCAGTCTCACTTTCTTCTGCCCATTCTGAGTGAAAATCCTTCTGCATCTCCCCCATTCTGGCCTTAATGGTTATAGCCATTGCATTGCATTGAGTAAGGCACCACTTCTAGAGGTGACCATGCTCGAGAACTCAATAATAGTACTAAGAGACATTAACAAAACATCTAAGGACATGAACACTGTCTTGTTGGTAACCTCAAGAATAACCTTCCTGACTCTGCTGCTTATTGGCCATGGGATCTCTGTTTACTCAATTTGGGTGTGCCTAAGTGTCCTCTTTCACTAGAGTATCTTTCACTAGAGTTTTTGTAATAAGCTAATACATGTAAAGCACTTAAAACAACCCTGGAGGATTGATGACCATAGATGTTAGCTGGTGCTGCTATTTCTTCTCTTCGCCCTTCTCCCTCCTCCTCCTTCTTTTTCTCCTCTTCCTTTGATGATATTCTTATAGAGATTCCCTTGTATATGATGCTTTTCTCTTGCTATATTCAAAAGTCTGTCTTTCTCTTTGACTTTTGAATATTCAATTATTACATGTCTTGACTTACACTTCTTTGATTAAACCATCATGGAACCTTTGGGCTTCATGAATCTGAATGTATATTTACTTGCCCAGACTTAGGAATTTTTCAGCCATAATTTCTTTAAATAAGCTTTCTACTTTTTTTCTTTGTCTTCTCTTTGGAACTCCCATAATGTGTGTATTGATTTTCCTGTGGTATCCCATAAACTTTTTTCACTCTTTTTACTTTTCCTGCCCTGACCATATAATTTCAAATGCTCTATCTTTGACTTTGCTGGTTGTTTCTTACGCTTGATCAAGTCTGCTGATGAGACCCTTTATTGAATTTTTAACACAGTCGTATTTTTAGTTCCAGAATTTCTGTTTGGTTCTTCTGAATGGTTCCCATCTCTGTGTTGGACTTCTCATTTTGATCACAAATTGTTTTCCAAATTTTACCTAGTGGTCTGTCTGTGTTATTTGGTAGCTTGATGAGCTTATTTAACATTATTATATTGAATTCTTTGTTAGGCATTTTCTAGATCTCTATTTCTTTGAGGTTTGTTATTGGAGTTAGTTTTGCTCCTTTGGTATTGCCATGTTTCCCTGATCCTCCATTCTAGTAGCCTTGCACTGGTGTCTGTGTATTTGAATAAGCAGTCTCTTCTTCCAGTATTTTAGAGCTGGCTTTGGGGCGGGGGGGCGGGGGGGGCGGGACGGAGACATTCACTGTAAAGCTCAACAAAATGTGAGGCTTCAGCTGTAGAGGCATGTGGGATGCTGGCTGCAGGAGTATGTGAGGTTTTGGGTATAGGGTTGCATTGACCACCATCTGTGGGTATATGTGAGAAATGGTTTTCAGGGCCATGTGTCCCAGCTGCTGCAATCCCCTTCCAGTTACATTTGCTTGGTAAAGAATCCACCTGCCAATGCAGGAGACATAAGAGATGTGGGTTCGATCCCTGGGTTGGGAAGATCCTCTGGAGAAGGGCATGGCAGTCCAGTCCAGTATTCTTGCCTGGAGAATCCCATCAACAGAGGAGCCTGGTGGGCTACAGTCCATAGGTTTCCAAAGAGTTGGACACAACTGAAGTGACTTAGCACACATGCATGCACCTTTGAATAATGTCCTCACTGTTCTGGGTGCAGTGAGACAGAAGCCAGCTTCCCAGGCAGTGTCTCACAAATTATGGGGAAGCTAGACTGTCACTTCATTCCCTCTTTCTCCTGTGGGAAAAGTCACAGTCTAGAGGCATCTCGCTCAGCACTGAGTCATGCTGGCGTGGGATCAAAGTGATGAGGTAAAGTGAAACTGTTCTTCTTACACTTGCCCTGTGGCTGAACTAGGATTTCTGGTTCATCAAAGTGCTGGAATCCCCCAACTGAACTCTGAAGATCTCATAGAGGTATTTCTGACCATGGAGAGTTGTTAAATCATATGCCTTGGCATCTTGATGGCATCCGTGCCTTCTTTCCCTTTCAAGGAAACTTATGGTTGCATTTTGCCCATCCAGATATTTCAGAATAATCTCACTATTTTAAGGTCAACTGATTAGCAGCCTTAATTCTATCTGCTACCTTAATTCCCCTTTTTCATGTAATGTAACATAGCCACAGGTTCCAGGGATTAAGACATGGACATCTTTGAGGGGCTATTATTCTATCATGATTTGGAAATCCAAGTGTAGTTATTATCCCCTGTACACTGTCTTCCTGCTCAGAGCCAATCCGTTAATGGCCTCACTCAGAAAAGACACCACAATTTAGTTCTTAAATGCTACATGAGCATTGGAGAAAGTTTACAGTGCAATGCTTATTAAGGAACCCATTTAGCAAACACTGTCCTTCCCTAAAGATCCTCCCTGTATAGGGAAGTATCCTTCTATGGAGAAGACAACTCATAAGTCCCCATGGGATTTCAAGGCAGCTTGTAAATCTGTCACTTTTCTTCCTGTGTATACCACATGTATGCATGTATACACTTTTCTTCCATGTGTATACCATGTTCAGTGGCATGTTCTAACCACACTTGGAATTGTCATTCCTAGTTATAACCACTGCATCTCCCACAAATGTCTCTACTTTAGGAAGTTAGTGCCTTTCTCTGGCCTCCCAAAACTAACCAGATGTCCTTCCCCATAAGAGTCGTGCTGTCCTAAGCTTCAACTCAGCTGGAGACACAGGGTAAGGGCCATGAACCAGAACAAGCCCTTCTGTCCCAAGCTTCTTTCTCTTCTGGGAAAAAATCCCAATTTTTAAAAAAATAATAGGCCCTAAGAAAATGAACTCTAAATTTTATTTCCTTGTGGATGATTTTTAAAGCTTGTGAAATCTAGTGACATTGCATAGGGTGTAACACAATGGCCCCATTCCTAGTCCCTTGGTGAATATTTAGCTTTAGGAAAATTATGTTTTAAGTATAAAATGCACCTACTTTCTTTATATAAGAAGGAAATGGCAACCCACTCCAATGTCCTTGCCTGGAAAATTCCATGGACAGAGGTGACTGGCAGGCTACAGTCCATGGGATCGCAGAAAGTCAGACATGACTGAGCGACTATCACTCGCTCACTCACTTTCTTTATAAGGCTTCCTTACATGCCTTGGCTACAATGAGGTAATAGACATTAAACTGGGGCATGTAATGTTTTCCACATCTGTGAAGTTTCATTCTTTTGTTGCCTCCTACCCCAGAGCCTGTGCCCTCTCCCCAGATTCTGATGGGGTCAGCATCCATCACACCAGACTGGTGCAACGTCACCCTGGAGTGCAGAGCCTCTGGGGCCACAGAAGACCTGAATGTGACCTGGGAGTACAAGGGCCTCCCCGAAGAATGGGAGCAGAGAAGGACATTAGAATCAGCCTCCAACTCACGCATCCTGGCTGTGAGCTTGCCTAGAGGCCAGCCCCATGCCAGTCTCGTCTGTGTGGTCAGCAACCCGGTGGGATATAAAACTGCCTCCTTTGACCTTGGGAGAGACTGCGTCCATGGTGAGTGCAATCTACCAGAGGGGAGGAGCGCTTTCAGAATCGGATAGCACTGAGGTCTGGGGGTTCAGAGCTTTTCTTCCCACCATTTTGTTAGCGCTGCTTTCTATCTGGCCGCTTCATACAGGAGTCTAGGAAAAACAGCCAGCTTAGTTTTGCTTCTGAGTGTGTCTCACATCCGTGACCTACTCTAAACTGCTTGCCCCTGCTAGTCCAGGTAGTAGTTTTGAGCACCTCTCTCCACCACTATCCAGCATTCATTGTGCATTCAGCATGGTCTTTAGGAAAGCAATCACACTGGGTCATTGGTGGCTTTTCTTCAAGTTTGACCTCCATGACTTCCTGTGGGATGTCATGGAGGGGCTCAGACGCTCCTCTGTCCACATTTCTGATCTTATTTATACACTTACCACTGAATTTCTTATTTGTTGTTCCAGAATGTGCCTTGCTTTTGCAAGTTTTTGCACCTCTGGACATGTTGTTTCCTTGACCATCAGCCCTTTTTCACCCTGTGTCCTCAACTTCCTGTCTTACTCTTCATGGAGGATTCTCCTCAGCCACTGCAGATATGTGGGCATGTGAAAATGTGTTCACACCCTACGATAGGCCCCATGATTGGTCTAAAACTCTGCTAATTTGTCTAAAAATCTACTGATGTCTTGAAATTTTAATAATTTTTTAACAAGGAGTCTGCCTTTTCATTTTGCACAGAGCCCCGCAATAATGTAGCCATCCTGCCTTCAGGCATCGACTCCCTCAGGGTGTCTGTGGCCACCCCCATACTGAGTAGTGATTATCTGTTTATGGATTTGTCTCCTCCATGGTCAGGAACACTATGAAGGCAGGAGCCATGTTTTGTTCTCCTTTGAATCCCTGTGCAAGCACAAGCTTCTGGCCAAAGTTTATGTAATCAAAGTTGCATTGAATGAATGAATAACCTTATCCTGTGTGCGGTCTCACTGTCTGTAAACCATCCTTCATGATCTGGTGCGGGGGTCTTAAATTTCAGGATCACTTAAAACATCTGTTAATTGGACCTCTCTACCACAAGGCTAGAGTGTCAGATAATTTTCAACACTCAGCATTACCCACAAACCCTCACTAATCCCCCTCACCAACATCTTGTTCCCTGCCCAGTCCTGCCTGCTGCAATAAGGTGCTGGCAACTCCCAGGGGCTGCCATTTCCCAAATGTGGTATCCCTCCTTCCTGGAATACTGTGCCCACCTTGAATATCTGGGAAACTGCTACTCATCACTCAAGTGATGCATCAGCTCCTCTGGGAGGCCTTCCCTGAGGACCTCTGTGCAATGGGTAAAGTTCTGTTCTACTGCAATCCCTCTGTCTAGCAGACTGATATTTTCTCAGTCCTCTCCACCCCATCTTACTTATCTCAGTGCCCCTGTCACCAAGCAGGAGCTTAGGACCTGGTTGAAGGAATGAAACTGCTATACTCCTCCTTCTTCAGCTTCTGAATCAGGACTCTTTAGACTTCTCCACCTGTTGTCTATCTTCCTTTGGCAATGAATATCTCAAGTTCTCTCTTGACTTTAACTTATTTGCCCCCTCTGTGTTTGAGGAAAACAGATTCAGCCAAACAGGTCAATGCTGATCTCCTGCCAGGCATCCTTGGGGCAGTCGCAGCTGTGTTATTGATCCTCGGAGGCGGACTATACCTTTGGAAGACACGTAGGAAGAAGATGGAGACTGGAAGAGGCAGGTTTCCCTTCTTCCATGCCCACATACCTCTCTTTCTCACTGCATTCTTGATATCCTTTCTTCTACAGTTTGTTGCCTGGGAATGTCCCTGCAGAGGGTTTAGTAGGTCTGGCCATGGTCTGTGTCCATAGAAGTGAGTGAGGGTACAAATTTCCAAGGTTCAGATTCAAGCTCCACTCTACCTGTCTCTCAGGTGCAAGATCACAAGATGATGATGATGATAGCATCCAGTGTGCAGAGCTGAGCCAGGAGGAATCTCAACAGAGCTCGAACAAGGTAAGAGCTGGGCACTGTGCTCTCCCAGGTCTCTCACTGCCTGGCCTGGGTTTGTCAAATCTTGTCACTGATGTTTCTGTTCCTACTGCCTCTTTAACACTTTCCAGACAATCAACAGTGTTAACTAAGAAAATTTGCGCTTGGGATCAACATAATGCTGGGCACTTAGGGGAATTCATAAGCACTGCATGTCATCCACTGGTTCTATTCTGGTCCTTCTAGGGCTCCTCTATCCCTCAGCTGTTTCAGGAACCCTTTGTCTTGCATTCCCAGGTTATCAGAGAACAGCATCTGAAAGAAAGGATACCTCTCACTACTATCTACAGTGAGGTCTGTAAGCCAGGTCATGCTGTGAAGATAATTTAATTGGAGGAAACAGAAGAACTGACCTTCCTAGGACACCTCCACCAGGAGCTTGATCCCTGCAGACACCTGCCGCTTCCACCTCTGGTCTGGTTCCAACTGCCTTTGGTTTGCTGTACTCTGATCCTCCTGGCCACCGTTACCTGGACCTATGTGGTCCTACCACTTCCTCTGATGCCCCTCCAAGCTGCCTCCCACTCAGGATCCTCACAGCTGCAGAACAAGCACTCCTCTGCCATTGACTCAACTTCTGACCCCTCTCCTCCTGAAGCTTCCCAAAGAGGACCTTCCTGACTGTGTTAATCCCCACAGCCTCTGAAGTGTGGTTGGTGTGTGTCTTTCTGAGAACATGATTCCAGGCATGGGGTCTGTGTGGAGATGGTCCACACCACAGAGGAAGGAATTAGGACCTTGGTGTTGGATGCTGAGTTGGGGGCTCCATGGAGGCAGCACATATAGGTGGGAGCCCACAGAGGACTGACCTGAGGTTTTCTCTGTGCCTCACATGGGGCGAAGTCTGTGTGTCCCACAGCACACTTGTATTGGGAAGAGTGTGTAATGTACATTATATACCTTATTCTTGGTTACTTGTGTTCACCTGGACTTTGGCCTCAACTCGGCCCAAGGGCCCCAAACTCACCTTCCTTTAAAGTTGAAAGAGGAATCTGTACCACTTCACCCCCTTCCAAGACACTTTTCTCAGAAAATAATCCTAGAACCTCAAAGTCAGGAGTTGCATTCTTAGAAAAATAGCTCCAGCCTGTCCCTTTCTGGGATAGGAGTATTTGGTCATGAAGATGGATGTCAGTATCCTCCAACCATCCTTGATGAGGCTTCCAGGGGATAGGAAGAGTGAATTTGGTGGGAAGATCTGAACCAGACCTCTCCAGTTGCTTCTATTGAAGAATCCTGCTGGCCTCAGTCTCTAGGTCAGCCTCTTTTTTACTCACTCACATCCCTCTGTCGGGAATGATGGTTCTCTTTCCCTGCTCCTTGCTCCCACCCCTGACTACTGGAACCCTACCATCCTGCCCAAAGCCCTCTTCCTAACCACATGTTCCATGACACCTGTCTGGTTCACAGAGGTTTAGACATGGTCTCTCCTATACCAACCTTTTCAAACACATAACTGAGGCCCTGCCACAGTCGGCTGTGAGATTGGTCATGAGTCTTCCCTGCTAGACTCACCTAGGGCTTCCTCAGGAGGGTGTTGGGGCCACAGGAAACCAGTGCCAAGGAGACAAGGATACACCCCTTTTTCTGTGAAAGGTCTAAGCAACACTTTTCCCAACTCCCAGGGGGACACAGCAGACTGAGCCCCAAAGAAGAGATTGCTGAAGATTTTTCTGGTACTGAATCTACAGGGAATCAAAGATGGACATGATGGCCTCCAGCAACCCCACCTGTCCCAGAGGTTGGAGGCAGGGATATCCCCACTCCACCAGTAGCCTCACACTGCCCGAAGACCTGTTTCAGCCTCACTTTGGTGTGGGGGAGCTTATCCTTTCTCTGGAGGTCCTCACCTCTTGGAAGCCCCTGCTTCCTGCCTTGGGCCCCAGCTCTTGGGTCAGAAGTGGGCTCAATCTAGTACTGTGAGCTGCTGTGGCTTCTCAGCTGGCCCAGATTCCTGGGTCACTTGATTCTCCTCCTTGCTCAGCTCAGTTCAGCTGCCTCATATCTGCCTTCAGACTGTCTAAACGTGGTCCCTGCTGAGGGCTTGAGCATTGTGAGCAATACTAAGAGCCTGATGGATGGTGAACAGGTAATGGAGGAGGCAGGGGATCTGTAATAGGACACCATTTCTGATCTCCTGTCCCTCAGGTGGAGCAGAAAACTGAGGGAGAGATAGGCTCCATCTCCTCATGGACTTCTCAGGTAACTGATCATGGCTGGGCATCAGTGCCCATAAGCCCAAGAGCATTGTAAGATGGGACCATCCAGTAGCCATTCCCACCCCACCAAAATTAGAAAAAGATAAAATGAAGGAGCCTGGTATTTTCTGAACCTGTAATGAACCAGGGTTTGTTCCATGCATTTTAGAAACATTATTCTTCTAATTCTTACAATGACACTCTAAGGTTGGTATTATTATTCCTACTGTGCAGGACAGAAAACCAATATCTCAAACTAGTTGGTGGTACAGCAAAACCTTAATCTAACAAAGTTCATCACTTACCCCTTCAACATTAGTCACTGAAGACCTTGGAATTCTCGAGTATTCAGGTGGGAATATCCTCCAATTTTTTTCTCTCCCAAGGATTCCAGACTCTGACTGAGGTGCCTTAGTATCCTCATTGATATGGAGCAGCTGATAGTTAAAAAGGAATTACTCCTGAAGTAGACAATGTGGCCTTGGTGGGTGGGAAACAGAATGAGAGACCTTGACTTCTGGTACAGATGAGACATTTTAAGGGAAGACATTTCTGCCCCTTGGGTCTCGGTCTTTCCTTGTAAGTTATGTGTGGATGTCATCACCTCATCTTCAGACCAGCTTCCCTTTTGCAATGTTATTCATAAAATCATTCAACATTCAATAAACTTTCCATAAGTCTCTCATTTATGCCTTTAGAAATTCTGTGAGCCATACATTTTTGGATAGTAGCCAACAATATTGTAAAGTAATTAGCCTCCAACTAATAAAAATAAATGAAAAAAAAGTGTGAAAAAAATTCTGTGAGCAAAGATCTCTATCATACAGATGAAGACATATAATCCACAGATATTAAGTACTTCCACAAAATCTCCTAAGTGTAAATGATTGTGTCACAGGAAATCATAATTTCATTCATTTTGACTCCTTTTCCCTCATCCCAGACACCCAACCAATCACCATGTGCCTTTGAGATAATCTTCATTAAGTTTCTTGTATTCCATTCTCTTATTCTTTTAACCACATTGTCTACCTAAAATATCTATTACTTACATGATATCTTCATTTGGATGTCTAGAATGTTTAAATTTGAACTCGCTAAATGTACTTTCCAAATACATCCAGTCAGTAAATATTACCTCTCTCCTTCCTTTTGTTCTGGCTACAAAACCTTGGTATCACCCTTGACTTCATTATTTTTTTATACCCCAAACTCTCTCAGCAAATACTGATTATCTTTTCATTGTATATATGAACACATACACATAATATAACTACCTGTCACTACCTACTTGATCCAATATGACAATCATCTCTCGTCTGCACTACTGCAATAGTCTCACAGTCTCTCTGTTTCTGTTCTTGGTCCCTTAAAGACTATTCACAAAATACCATCAAGAGTGACCCCTTCAAACATGTTTCATATCATTACTCCTTAGCTGAGTATTCTTCTTTCACTCCCACTTTTCCTGTGAGGCCCTACACCACATGACCCCGTCTCCCACACTCCCTTCTTTCCTTAAGCCACTCTAGGACAATTGGGCTTTTTGCTATACCTTTAATACAACAGTTATGCTCCTGCCTCAGAGTCTTTGTTTCTGCCTAGATTTCTCTTATTCCAGCATCTATATGTCTCATCCCCTTACCTTCTTCAGGTCTTTGCACAAATTTTGTCTTCCTATCCCCCCTATTTAATACTGCGCCCTTCTTCTGGCACCTCCTCACTCCTCCCTGATCTGTTTTATCTATAGCACTCATCATAAGATTGAGGCAAGATGTACCTAATCTAGGCTGTCCTCTAAAACAAGTATGCAAGTCAAGTCTCAAAAAGTAACCTGCAAATGCTAGTATACAAATATCATTATTATTCCCAGGAAACTGCAACGCTGATAAGTTAATAAACTTGCCCCAGGTCACATAGCTATTAAGTGGGCAGAGCTATCATTCAAATGTTGGAGTCAGATTCTAACGTCCCTGATCTTGACTACTATATTATATTGATTAAATAAATTATAGTCTATCTACATGAAGGGATACTATTTAGGAATAAAAATAGTAAAATACATCTTTATATATTTAAACTGAACAGGATCTATGAAGATTAAATGTCCTAACCTATGTTGATTCCTTATAGTATAATTTTTAGTTCAGAAGAAAAAATGCATGAACACAGTGAGATATTGAACAAATAATTTTATTAAAAAAAAGAACCAAACAGAACTGAAAAACATAACTGAACTAAAAATTACACTATAAGGAGTCAATAGTAGATTAGATGCTACAAAAAAATTAGCAAACAGGGAAAGAGAAGAGTGGAAATCACTCAAGCTTAATAGACAAAAGAAAAATATTTAAATTAAGACCATTTAAGAGACTTCTGAGACAACATCAAGCATACTAGCATTCACATTACAGGGGGTCCCAAAAGAATAAAAGAAAAAGAAAGGGTTATAGAATATACTTGAAGACATAATAGCTGAAAAGTTCCCTAATCTGAAAAATGTCACATGCATCCAGTTCCAGAAAGAACAGAGTACCAAGGGTGAAAACCCAAAGAAAATTAGACCAAGACATACAGTAATTAAAACAGAAAAAAAAATTAAAGATAAAAGAGGCTATTAAAAGCAACAAGGAAAAGGCAACAAGTTATGTGCAGAGGAAATCACATAAGACTATCAGTTGAATATTAAAAAAATCATGCATCATGACCAAGTGGGCTTTATCCCAAGAATGCAAAAATTCTTTAATATCCACAAATCAATCAATG